CGATCAGGTCCTTTTTCAAAGATAGTCCTGGAAAGAAAGTGGACTAATAAAAATGTCACAGAAGGAATGAGGGGGGAAAAAATAAAAAGGAAGATACTTTCTGGGAGGTCTATAGAGAAGAAAGGCATGTAGTGGGAGAAGCCCAATAAGCTTTCCTATATTGAACTCTCCCTTTCCTACACTACGTTTTCTTCCTTTCTTGAAGGAGGATCATATCCTATTTCTGAGTACCAGCACAACGTCTTATGAATAACTAAGTACACAGATAATACCTGTCAAATGACTGCTGGAACATAAGGAGATTAAGGAGCTCACCAAGAATCATAACTAAAGGTCTCTTGTGGCGCAGATAATCTGTACTCAATGGGGTGCCCAAGAGTTGCCAGTTTAAACTCACCCAGCGGTACCCAAGGAAGAGCAAGGCTTGGTGACTGGCTTCCGTAAAGAACACAGCCAACCCAACTCTGTAGCTAATGGAGTCTCTTCAAATGAACACATGAACAAATGCCTCAAAGAATCATGACTGAAACCTTGAGTGACTTGAGAACCTTCTGCTCTCACAGAGTTAATGACCAGTCCAAAGTCTAACAGATGTTTAAATAGTTCATATTGTCCTCTCAGTCCATCTGATCCATATAATTACTACTGCTGCTTGCCTGCAAGACAATCTGTGTTCTAACCACAAAGAATGCTTTATATTTGTTTTGTTTGAAAATCAGCCCTCCTTTTCAACAGTATCATTTCCTCATCAAGAGTAATTCTATGTCAGGGTTTCAAGGGCCCATTAAGGCAACTGTGTTTTCTACACATGCATTCAGAGATTTTACTATAAGAGGCTTAGCAAAATTAACAACTTCATATTTGATTTTAAAACTTCCTAAAAAATTTTCAAGATGATACAAGAAGAAAATGAATCTGTTCTTCAATAATATCTGAAACAAAGAAGCTTATGGCTATAAAGTTATTATATATATACATATATATAAACACATATATAAATAAATATCAAACATACACACATACACACACACACACCTCTCTCAACCCAATGGCTCAATCTGTTGTTGTTGTTGTTAAGTGCCATCGAGTAGTTTCCGACTCATAGCGACCCCATGCACAGCAGAACGAAACACTGCCCGATCCTGCGCCAGCCCCACAATCCCTGGTATACTTGAGCCCATCATCGCAGCCACCATGTCAATCCATCTCGTTGAAGGCCTCCCCCTCTTTTGTCGACCCTCCACCCTACCAAGCATGACATCCTTCTCCAGGGAATGGTCCCTTCTTACAACATGGCTCATCTAGAGATCTGTAATTTTATTTCAAATCAAAGTGTCTCCAAAACAAAATGGGATTTTCTTCTAAATCCTAATCACTTTTTTCCTTTTTATTTAACATATCTGAATGAACTGACTGAGTGAATGATATTAGTTTTCTGAGTAATTCAAGTAGCCTGCCTTGAAAGTACTGAACCTAGGTTATACTTCAGTGTAAAGCTGAAGGAAAAACCTGCATGTATCTCTACCTGAGTGTCAAAGGTCTGAGGTCTTCTCAGCAAGCAGTTTCAAAAGCAGGCTGCAAATCTCAATCATTGGGGCAGGAGTATTTAAAATATAAATATGCCTGAGACCCACGTCAGATCTATGGAATCAATGTTAAACTGACAAACGTATTCCGATGCAGCCAACTGAGGGCTGGAGCTCTGACTGGCATTTTTGAACTGCTCTTCCAATTACAGAATGAATCTCTTCATGACTGCCTTAACTCATCTGTGTGAATGTCAACATGTTCTCTAACCTAAAAGGTATAGGAGACAAGATTACATGAAAATTTAGGTACCTTCATATTTTCTAATTGTTTAGACTTACTTGCTAATTTTTCTAACAAAAACAGGGCTTAAGAACCAACTGAAAAACAAGGAATTGAGGATATCATATAAAAGGTCAATTAATGTGATTAAACCAACATCCGAATCTCCCTAAACACCTAAAGAAATACCAAAAGAAAAAAAATTTAGAGAAGCCAAGGCTGTAATACAGGGGAAAAAAATGCTACAATTGGCCGTAGGAACACCGTATCATGGAAATCAACCACTTTCCAAGAGGACAGATGACAGTGGGAAGAGAATCATTTTGCTACTAGGATGAGAAAACTGTGCAGCTGGTTCTTGTTCATTCAGATGATTCAAGTTATTTTCCTTTGCAAAATAAAATTTAGGGTCTTTGGTGCTAATAGGAGTCCCTACATGATGTAAAGGAGCTCTGGTAGCGTGGTGCCTAAGGCACTTCACTGCAAACCAGAAGGCTGGTAGTTCAAACCCACCAGCCACTCCTTGGAAGGAAGATGGAACAATCTACTTTCGTAGTGATACTGCCTCGGAAACCCTAGGAGGGGTCACTATGAGTTGGGTCCGACTTGACAGCAAATAACAACAACAACATGATGCAAATGACTGACACACTCAACTGCTAACCAAAAGGCTAGAAGTCAGATTCCACCCAGAGACACCTCAGAAGAAAGGCCTGGCCATCTACTGTGCCCAAATCAGCCACTGGAAACCCTACTGAATACAGTTCTTCTTTGACACACATGAAGTCGCCATGAGTCAGAACTAACTTGAAGGTAACGATTTTGTGGTGCTAACAACAAAAAACTACAACTACTGGCATTTTCCACAGGTCTTACCTAGGTCAGTGGGGAGTAGATAGGAAGAGTTCTTTCGAGTCCTGCATTATTCCTCTAATATGAAGGTTCAAGGCCTTCATAAGCTAATACGTCAATAAAATTTAAGGCGTAAATATCTGAACACCCTACCCTTTTCTCCATTACCTGCTCTCTCTCCAACCAAAAATTCAAAGACTACCTACTTCCTCAATCAAAGGATATATGCTCCCAAATCACAATTAATACTAATAAAAAAATAAGATGCTAAAAAACAATCCCTTTCCACTATATTATATTTGCTCATTTTGAATCCTTACTATCTCTCTACTTAAAAAAAAAAAAACTCACTTTCTTCTTGCTTAAAACCATGTTCCTCAGAAATTGTGGGGGGCTCAGTTCTTCAGAAAGCTTTTACCTACAGAAACATTATTAAAGGATTTCTGCTCATCTCCTATTTGCATTTTGATGATTAAAGTGCCTGATAACGACTGACTGTCAATATTACTTAAATTTGTGCTGTCTCTCGACAGAGGAAGCTTTGCTTTACCAGCTGTACCTTTAGGGTCCTAAACATTACTTTTATTAGCATAAAATTAGGCTATGTATTCTTTCCCTAAAAAAGTTAACATCAAAAAACACTTTGGAAAGGGACTGTACAAGGCATATAATTCATCCAAAATAAACAAAAAACCAAGTTCAGTTACTATATTCCTTCACTTCAGAAGATGTTTCTTAGGGGTCACTGCAAATAATGTCACAAAACGTGTATCAACTGTAGAATGTGAAACTAATTTGCGCTGTAAGATTTTCACCCAAAACCACAATAAAGTGTTAAAATAACAAGATTTCTTAGGAGTATTTGAAATGCTACAAAGCTTATATACACAAAAGTTAGCATATTTTCAGTTTCCCACTTTCCCACACCCTCCCCTCACCCTGTGCATGTGAGCATGGATATTGTGGTGTAGTAAATTACTTAGTGTGGCTTTTCTACCCATAAGTCTTTGTAAACTCCAAGGTGGGATTTTCTATGAGCAACTGAGGAGCTCCTGATTGTTAAATGTTATCCATGTGGTTTATTTCTGTTGGGCGTGGCACAATACAATGTTCTGGGAGGTTCCCACTCTCTCTCAGGTGCTTAGAGTTCTGACGCTGTGACTGGCTAGTTTGACCACCCTGCCAGGCTCAAAAGGAGGCCTCCTAGAGGCAGAACTCTCTCTGACTGCTGGTTGAGGAAGACGTGTTGCTGAAAGAGACACAAGAGACACGCATTGCTGAGTGAGACACCGAGGGACCAGCACTGATGGGAAAGAGACTGTGAGAGACTGTTGGCTGAGGGACAGTGGGCTGGGAGAGAGACTGAGCATTTTTCCTGAACTTGAATTGTAGCCTGTGGTGCTTCCCTAATAAACCCCATAATCTGTGAGCTCTGTGTGGCCACTGCAGCAAATTATCGAACCCAGGAGAGAGGTGGTGGGTGCTTTGGGAGGAACGGTTGGTGAAAGGGCTGGAGGGAGGCAGCATGTCTGGCCTTGCAGTAATAGGCCTTGGGTTACTGCTGGTAATCCTGTCTTCCTCTTGTGGGATTAGAGGAGGTCAGAACATGTGGCCTCCTTACCCTTTTTGTAGATATACATACAAAACATTCTCCAGCAAATGCCTCCCAAGAAATTGTTTAATAAAACATAAAAATTGCACATTTCAGGAGCCAGAGGAATTGTAGTATAGAAAATTTCAAAGTTCCAGCATTTAGTAGCTGAGAGGTAGAGGATGTTTTACAAAGAAATTCTTTATCAAAAATTCTTCTTTGAGGGAATGAGGCAGCAAAGTAAAAAAAATCTTTATAACTTGATTGAATATAAACATCCAAATTAAAGTAAAACTCTTTATGAGTTGGTATTCAAAGAAAGTACCTGATACTTAAATTACAAAGCTTTCCCACAAAGATTAAATGTCTATATTGGCTTAACAATCCTGAAAGAGAGTATGGTACAGGTAATTACAATAAACAATGCAGTCTCTACTCTCCCCAAGCCAAATAATTCATTGAATTTTTAAATTTATCTATAGTCATAAAGATTATGTATTGTTAAAAATACAAATATCAAGCAGTTACCTGAAGTATAAGCAAACAATTTGAGAAAAATGGAGTTAAAACTCTTACAGAAAGCTAATTTTTTAAAAAAACCATGGAGGTAAAGAACAAGATTAAAACTGCACACCAGGTAGTTAACAAAAGTAGGAATTACTCTGTATCAACCTATATAAGCAAAATGCTATCTTGGGTTTATTACTGAGTAGAGAATTCAGCAAGTCCAAATGAGAGGGAGGTGTTTAAGAATGACAATCTGTAGAAGGAATGATCCAAACAGCAAGAGAATTTTTTAAACCTCTCAAGCAAAAAACAGATGCCAGTATCACCTCACACCTCCCTTGTACTTGTCTCAACGTGATTGCCAATGCATTTGTACTCTTCAGAGTTCCAGGGGTCATAAAACAGCTTTGTATTAGCTGAATGACTTGCTTTCAACTTCTGTTATCACGGATTCCATTCAATTCACTGTCCCTGCTCTACCTGGGGTGGAGGTGCTGGTTTGCCATTAAGAGCCATCTGGAATGGGGTAGTCTGGCCTGTAGGAGGCATAGGGGCAGTCTTCAACTTCTTTGTACTGGTTTTGGATGGTCGCTCTTCCTCTTCTTCATCAGAATCCTGAAGACCATACTTAGAAAAATGGGAGACCTAAGGAGAAGAAGAATCCAAAAATGTTAATCTTAACACTATCATTCAAAAGAGCCTCCACAAGCCCTTGCACTCTCAGAGTTACAAAGAGAAAGGAGAAAATCAAAAGCATTAAGAGCAAAATGTCACCCACTACACTTTACTATTATTCTAAGATTCAGAGGATGTTTGGTGCATGTATTAGCTGCTAATAAAATTACTAAGTGAATAAATGTATGTGTGTATATATATATATATATATATATATATATAATTTTAAATGCAATCATTTATAAGAAAACCAAATACAAAGCTATTCTGTCACATCATCTTATCACTGCCTCATTATTCTCTACCTATACAAAGGCCTTTACCAAGTTAAATAATCCAACTTACCTGGAAGAGGAAGAAAACATTGCGTCAAACTAACAAAAAAGGCAAAAAGTCTTTATCTCTTCACCTTCAGGATGACTGACACTTATTTAGGAAGAGTTATCTCTACCCAGGGACAAAGAATTAGGTCTACTGAATTACTAAAGACCCTAATGATGCCAAAAATCAAAAATGATGCCATACCTTCAAGTTTATCTAACAGCTCACAGGATGGAGTAGAGGATCTGAATCATGAGTTTGTAACAGTGTATTTTGCTGTGGTTTTTAAGTACCTGTGTAATTTGGAGCAAATCATCAGGTATCTCTAGATCTGTTTCCTTATTTGTGAAAACAAAGAGAATGGAGCAGAGGCTCTCTTCCAACAAAAACATTTTATGCCTCAAATCACAGTTTGTAAGTCAGAAAAGGAAAAACAAAAAAAGTCAGAAAAATAAGTGGTTATACCTTAAACACCCAAGAACCAGTTTCAGGCCGATATTCTTTGAACTGAGCTCCTTGTTTCCTGGAAACCGCTTCCAGGCGCCCCTCATAGTTGATATCAGCAAGTCGATCTGGACTCTTTATTAAACAACGAGATGTTTTATCTGTTGGCCAAACTCCATCCAATGTAACTTCAGCCTTCCTGTAAAGTACAACCAAGTAAGGGGTAAATGCTTCATTTTGGAGACCAGAAAGCCAACTAACACCTACATAAATATCAAATAAAGAGCTATGTCAGTTTGGAATTATACTGCAGGTGTTTCATGAACCTGAGTTTTGTCTTCCGAGGTAGAGAAACTGAAGAGCGAAGAGTCAGCACCACATTAACTAGCTCAATATTGGGTTCTGCAGTCAGACTGCATTTATTTCAAACTACCACAGTACATCAATTATTTCTTATCTAATTTTAATAACACTTAGGCAATGAATCCTCAACCAAGTAATTTAGGTAATAGTCCAGTGCTAAGACCTAAGTCTTAGTGCAGGATTTAAGTTCTATTATACTTACTAACAACAATAGTAATAACAGTAATTACTGCCATTTATCAACACCAAATACTTGCATAATGAAGTATCAGGAAGACTACAGTACTAACTATTAAATAATCAGTATGTAACAATAACTACAATAGTAGTAACAAAGTCTTTCTCATATCAATATCTGAGTTAAAAGACAATGTCCTACTCAATCTATATGCCTTGTACCTAGAACAGTCACTAGCGCAGAACAAGTACTTAATATTTTAGAATACTTAATATTAATGAATAAGAGGAATAAATTTATGTAACAAAGACCCAAAGAATGGATCCACTAGAGCTGCTATTCCAAAATTTCAAAGACAGACCATTTAAACTATGGCACTTCCCTGACTGGAGAGGTATTAGAAGCTAGACTCTCAGGTTAAAATACAGAGAAGATTTAAGCATGGCCATATGAAGGGGAGGAAAAAAAACACAGAGCAGCATTCTTTATCATTTATACTTTCAAATGAGGCTAGAAAAACGATAACCACAAGGTATACTGTTAAGTCAAAAGAGCAAGGCATAGAAGAATGTATATAGTTATGATCCCATTTGTGCTTATTAAAAAAATTTTGTGGTTTTAGCTGGTTATTTTCTATACATGTAAATAAATTCATACCTATTTAGCCCTTCACCCACAGGTGGTTTTTGGCTATCATCTAAGTAGACAATCACTTCTTTCCTTCGGATATGCACAATATCATCCAAATTTAGGTTTGTCAAATTCACATCTCCTTCAAAATATATTGAACCATAACCTACAAATCAGAACAAATAGTTAAAAATCCATCCTCTATGAGGGCAAAAACCTACTTTACACCTCCAGTGATGAAACAATCAGATCTAAACATTAGTCAAGATTTTAAACGATCCAACAATTCCTAAAGTGGGTTATTTCTCCATAATAATGTATGCGTGGGGATATAAAGGGTAATAACAATTACACTATTACATGATTTAACATGTGTTTTTTGCCAGAGATATTTTATCATTCCTGCATGGTACAAGATGGACTAGATGTTTTCTGAGGTCCTTTCCTTTTTTTTTTCAGCTTTTTATTGTGATTTGGGTGAAAATTTACAGAGGAAGTTGATTATTCCATTCAACGATTCACACGTTTTGTTCTGTGACATCTACTCCCCACAATAGCACTCCTCCCACTTCCTCCTTGTGTTTACCATTTCTCTTCATCCTTTGTTCATTTCCCCTCCTGCCTTCTGAGCTTTATCCCTGGGCAAATGTTGCCCTCTTGTTCTTGTATGGCTGATTATTTAAAGGAATGAGTACTTCCCTGGTGTCACTGTTCATCCTATAGGCTTGTTGTCTATTGTGTGGCTGAAAGTTGAGGCTGACCCATGAGGGTGAGCTCAGTTCCAGGCATGAAGGGTGCCTAACAGCCATAGTCTCGAACGTTCCACCAGTCTCTATTAGACTTCTTAAATTTAGTTTTGTTCTACATTTTCCTCCTACTCTATCTAGGACCTCTCGTTGTGATCCCTTTCAAAGCAGTCAGCAGTGGTAGCTGGGTATCATCTTGTTGTTGTGGTCTCAGGGTCACAGGAGGGTAGGTCCATTAGTCCAGTGGGCAATTGTTTCCTTGCATCTTTGATTTTCTTCACTCTTCTTTGCTCCAGAGAGACCAATGGTTACACTTTAGATGGCTGCTTACTAGCTTTTAAGATTCCAACTTTTTGCATTTTCACGATACTTTTATTGTTCTCAAAATAGCCTTCTTAAATCTTTTCTGAAGTATCTGTAATGCTGCTACATAAACAACACTTAACATCTAGGTTGCAGTTAGTTAAAATGCCTAAGCACATTTTTCTATTCTACAGCAAAATGAGATTTTTTTTCCATGAAGAAAATTTTATCTGTAATAACTTAGTAACATGAAGTTGAACATTAGTATTACCCATTTCTTTTCAACTACTCAATTCTTTTACTTAATATTTCTTGATATTTCCAGTATTATCCTCACTTGTAGAAAGAAAATGGGCCAGTTACCAACCCCACACAGGTATACTAGGCCTAAAGAAAGTTATATGGTTCTAGTTATTGTTGCTTTGTTAATTGTTGATCAGACTGTCTACTACTCAGCCAAGCTATTTTGAGTGATGGTCCCAAATGTATGAAAAAAACATTTATCAAGAGCTTCTCTTCACTTTATTACAAAAACAAGATGCAGACCTCTGTGGGTTATCCACCATAACTCACCTTTACGACCAATAGTGAAGTCAGATACAATACATTCCCCCTTCTCATTGGTAATTTTAGCAAGATCATCCATAGATGGAATAGTATAGTAACCAACCTTAGTAAGAACAATACCTATGACCAAACAAACATAAATAGAGTATTAATAGTGATTATCCTTGGAAGAAGAAGTCTTAGTAATATCCACTTCACTTTTTCTTTTTCATAAAACTGTATGGAACGGACTTCCACACAGGCCTTGAAAATGATCCTTTAGGATGAAATGTTCTTATTCCCTTCTCTTCTGAGCTTCTTATGCAGAGCACCTGGCTGGAATGAACCTGCACTGATGTGGACCAGGGAGTCCCTGGGTGATGCCAATGGTCAGCACACTTGGCTGCTAACCAAAAGCTTGGAAGTTTGAGTCTACCCAGAGGCAGCTCAGAAGAAAGGCCTGGCAATCTGCTAGTGAAAAATCAGCCTTTGAAACCCTATGGAGCAGAGCTCTACTTTGACACACATGGGGTTGTTATGAGTCAGAGTTGACATCACAGCAACTAGTCGAAAAGATGTCACTGAATCCAGTGGGGGCTGAGAAGGGAATTTAAGATGAAAAGAGAACATATCTCTAGTGGTCTTCGGCTCAGGCCCACAGCCCTTTGGGAGTTCTCTCTAGCACTGATAGGCAACATGAGCACTGTGCTGATTCAGAAGTGAGTGGCCGAAAATCAGCTGGGGTAGGGGCCTCGGCTTGAATGCTCCACGCGCTAATAGGCATAAAACCAAAAACCAAACTGACTGCCATCAAGTCGATTCTGACTCAAAGCAACCCCCACTGTGTTTCCAAGGCTGTAAATCTTTATAGAAGTAGACTGCCTCACCTTCCTTCTGAGGAGTGGCTGGTGAGTCTGAACCATTGACCTTCTGGTTAGCAAATACCTTACTCACTAAGAGGCACAGGGCCAGGTATAAATGCACTCAACTGAACTGAGGCCAGAACTCTCCTTCTTCATGGGAAGTAGCAAAGTTGCTAGTGCTTGTTACTGACTGCTCTTGACTGTATGACTGCTAAGCTGAAATATTAAATACTATCTGTGGAGAATCAATCTTAGAAGGTGATTTCCCTGAGAATGTTCATGGTGCAGAAAATGGCATTTTCCAATTTTCACTCTTCTCAGCTATTGCAGTGTCATTAAATTCTTTGTCTCTCTGGGGGAAAACTTTTTTTCCTACAAAATGAGTATCTTTAAAAAGTACCTGAAATTATCAGTAACTAAATTATTATATATAGAAAAAAAAAATATAAGGATAAAAGATTTTTCCAAACTCGTTTTTGACCAATTGGTATTCTTAGGAGACAGAAAAATTTTTTCAAAAACTTACATGGTCTAGTAAGTTTGAGGAACATGAACTTGATAAGCACACTACAGGCTCTGAAAACTCTCCCAATAATGAAGTCTGTTTAAAGCAGGGCTCTGAACCAGCTTAGTCCTGGCCAATGCAGTGAAACTGGAACAGAACCAAATTTTTAAAATTTTGGGTGACGTGAACAATACCAGAATGGGGGAAATTATGAGTCAAAGTTTTGGAACAGGAGACTTGGAAGAGACAATAGTGAGCCTTTTCAGCAGCCTGATGCAGGAAAGTGGATTACTGCCAAGACTGTGAAAAGCAATACACGTTCAAAGCCATCTCTGAATGGGTCACCACTTTTTCTGATTTAGTTGGTCAAGATATTTGTTTGCCAAGCAATGTGTATACTGCTCTTATTTTCTAAGAGCAAGATTAAGTTTCTAGCAAAGTGTTGAACCTACTTTTTCTTGTTCCAGCTCACATTTTACAAATTTGGGTTGAAGTCTTCCAGTTTTACTTTGCCAGCTATGAGTGAACCAGGAAGAACTGGTTCGAAGCCCTGATTTAAATTTGTGTAACCCAGAGTTTCCCAGACATAGCCACAGACCTTTTTTTCCATATGACACCCATTCCTGAAGCATGAATGGTATTTCACAGAATACATTCTGGGAAAAGTTTTTTAAATCCATTTTGTCTTTTGTTTTACACATGAGAGTACCAAAACCCAGGGTACAAATAACTTATTTTAGCTTACATAGTAATTTAGTGGCAGAGGTGGAGTTAAAATTCCAAATCCAATACTTTTGTCCTATGGCTTTACTGTCTTCCATAAACCTCTTGTATCTTACAATTTAGATTCCCCAACAGAGAGCTAAAACCAAAAATTCCTACATGAGCAAGTCCCATAGACAAAAGAGAAACTTAAGGCCTGCATCAGCAGTACTTATAAAAGCACCAACTAAGAGAATTTCAAAAATATCTAGTAATATTTGATGGGCAAGGAGAAATTCTAAAGTGGAGTACACTGCATAAGTAGACTGCCCAACCTTCTTTCTGAGGAGTGGCTGGTGGGTTTGAACCTCTAGCCTTCTGGTTAGCAGTCACATGCCTTTGGCACTATGCCACCAGACCTCCCTAAGGTCTGCATTAGTAGTACTTAAAAAAGCATGAACTAAGGAAATTTCAAAAACATCTAGTGATACTTGATGGGGAAGGAGAAATTCTTAAGTTGGGTAAAGAGGTTTCTGAACATTTCTAAAAGTAAGGCTCTAATTGGGATGACCCCTCCCACTTCCTCCAAAAAAAGCTGAAGCACTCCAAGGAAGTAGTGGAACACTGCCATGTTCATTTTAATCACTCCTTGTCCCATATGTCCCATATGTAGCTATAGGTAAGGCTAACCTGCTCTCTAAGACAAAAGCATTTCAGACAGACATCAAAACAAATTCCAGCAATGCCTACTTGTACACTTGACTTGGTTCTCTTCTGACAAGGTTTAGAGGGGTGTTAGGGTGCCTGTATATGTCTTAGCAATCTTTAAAAGTAGTCAGGAATGGAACTCTACATAGGGTGGCAGCAAACAAAATCAATGAAAAACCTGGAAACAATAAAATATTTACTGAGTGAGTATTTGAGAAAGAGATGTAATGTAATGAATTCACTAATACAGATTACTTAGGATTTTTTACTAAGTGACCAAAAGATACACATGAAGGCAATAGATAGGTAGATAAAAATTTCAGACACTACAAGAAGAGACCAATGAAAAATCCAAAATGTTCACCATTTTGTTCAGATAAACAAAACGCTGCATATTTATACAATGGAATACTATTCAACAATAGCAAAGAATGAATTATTAACATATGCAACATGGATGAAATCTCAAACATACTGAGTGAAAAAGAATGTGGACAGTATGATTCCATTTACATGAAGTTTAAGAACAGACTACGGGGGACAATAGTTTGAATGGGGATGCAAGGAAACTTTCTGTTTTGATTGAGATGTTAGACAACTGAAAGAAAAAATAAAGCAAACATGTATGTACATGTGTGTGTGTCAAAATTTATTAAGATCTGTGTAGTTTACTACTTCTATAAAAAAATTAAAAAATAGGAGTATGATGACATTGATGAAAACACAATTGAGATGTTATGTCAAACAGAAAAAAAGATGAGCTTTAAGTATCTGACCAAGACTCGCAGATCTTAAAGTTTACATTGTTTATGGCTTAGTCTTTGTTAGAAAATAAAAGCAAGCACAGAATTGAGATGATAATAAATAACCACCGCAGCAGGTACCATCTGAGTGCCTATACATGCCAGGCTTTATAGTTCATATGCCTCATCTAATTCAAATCTCAATACCCTGTATGACAGGAAATAACTACTACTTTTAACTTCATAAAAAAAAAAAAAAAAAAACCTAGTAAGCAATCAGATGAGTTTATAAAGCTAAAGATGTATCAGGACTTGAACACTCTCTGGCTATAAAATGTGAGCTCTTTAAACTACACCAAAGTAATGACTTATCAATTTTAACTACTCCCAAACGTCCCAAAAGTATGTGAATTAGCAATCAACTAAACCATAAGTGAAAAGTATTTAAATGTTAACTTCTATAAAATGCAACAAAAAAGTATGTAAACATTCAGATAGCTGACTTTCACTGGTGTTGAAATTTGTGACAAACGAGATTTCAAATGACCAGGAAGAGATCAGTCATGTAGCAATCTGAATCTGACCTGCCGGGTGCACGTGGTAAGTATTATTTTCTGTTTCTTCTCGATCATCTTGCAGTGACTCATCATGGAAAGATGTCTCTTCACTGCTTCCTTCTAGCCCATTTCGCAAGGCAGCACGCATATTTAATGCAACAATGGTATCATCCACACTGCTACTGCTGTTATGTTTATTTCCAGCACTCTCTGGGGTTTGAGGGATGGGTTTGGCAATAGGGTTAGTATAAAAACGTGACACAAGAGAATCATCATCTCCATCCTGCTGATGGTTTTCATCAACAGGTTTGCTCAGGAAACTGAATCTGTAAAAGGAGAAAAACAAAACAAATGTTTTAGCCCCTGTAACACTAGTGGTAGTGAAATGTTAATAGTCAGTCAAGGCTTCCTGAGTCCTTACTAAGTGCTTGGCATTTAATATGTAGGCAATTCTACTTATTAAAAATTCACTTAATATTTAAAGTAATCCTGTGAAGTAGGTTACTATCACTGCCTCCATTTTATACCTATGGAAACTGAGGCACAGGAAGGTAAAGTAACTTGCCCAAGGTCACAAAGTTTTAAGTGGGAGAGTTGGGATATTAACCTAGGAAATCTGGCTCTCATATCTATGCATTGACTGGCTTATTTTCATGAATGAATGGATCTGAACATCTCAATTCTGATGTATTTTTTTATAGCATGCTCTTTTAACAATCAACCACAAGAGATCAAAAGGAAACCATTTGTCCAGGGATAAAGCTCAGAAGGCAGAAGGAATAAGAAAGGAGGACAAATGGCAATGTTAAAGACAGGGAGGAAGTAGGAAGGGTGCTGTTACCTTGTGGGGATTGCAATCAATGTCACAAAACAAAATGTATAGGAATTTACTGAATGGAAAACCAATGTGCTCTGTAAACTTTTACAAAAGTCACAATAAAATATATATATATATAAAAGTGTGCTCTTGTAGAAAATTTCAATATAAAAAATGAAAATTGTTTTATATTTTTAATATTACAATCACTAACGTGTTAGAAAATGCTCTATTAATAAAAAGACCAAACTAGGACTTTACTGAAAGGAAAAAAAAAAAAAAAAAGTATAAAAATACACAGAGATTTTCACTGAGGCATTATTTTGAATAAAGGAATACCAGGTAATATAAATAACTACTAATGTGGAATTAGTTGAATTTTGTTACATTTACAATGGAGAATACAATGCAGTCATTAAAAACAAGGAGGCAGATACATGCATACTAATATGATAGAGCATTTATAATAAATGGGAAAAAAGCGGGTTACAGAATACAAAACCTCTACCCATACATATCTGTAAGAATATATACTGAAATAAATAAATTTTCTACAGTGGAAGAATATACACCAAACTACTAAGGATTAGTGAGGACACTTTCACTTCTTCTTTTGTATACCTCTACACAGATTCCTTTTTCTTTTGGGTAGGAGGGTTTGGTTTTAATGACTATGTATTAATAACCAACACAAACAAAATATCCCTTAAGGGGGTGAGGGGTGTCAAATGCAAGCAAACCTTGTTGAAAACAATATACATGATACCACACTAGGTCTACAGAACTGAATCAGAAGAACTCCAAAAATTCAGAAGTCTAAACTACTCAGGAAACAAAACATGATTCGATTTCTAGGCAGTCACATGCTATTTTACTCTATATAACATCCACCAACGTCCTAATTCAAATTTTCATAAAATGAATAAATTCTAAGCACAGAATCTCTTCAAACTCTCTACTAGGAACAACCCAGAACAGCCTTCAATTTACCTCTCTCCATTTTCTGGATAATCAGTTGGTGAAGCAAGATCTTCAGCATCACGGTTTACAGGAGAAAAGAGATTACTATTGTTAAGGTTCTTCAAAACCAACTTCTTAATGCTCTTTCTATAAATAAAGGGGTAAAATGTCAGGTACACAAACTGTTATCAGAGAAATAAAACTGGAGCCCAAAATGGCACTCTTGTTCAACAAATGATAAATTTAAATGACTGAACAAGTTCTATTCACAAACTCTCCCTATAAATTGTAACTAGAATTGAATGTTTCAAATATATTGTACTCTGGTACTTGGAAGAATAAAGCTAAGCACATTCAAAACAAAGTGGTAACTCTCTTGAAAATACTAAATCTCCTATGAACAATCTGAGCACTTTATCCAGATACTCAGTTCATTCATTACATTCTCTCTTATATTTCAATTATTTCTGTACATATCTTCTCTTTAATCATTTTTTTTCTTTCATTTCGTTTGGAGGAGGGCAGTCAGGATCTATGACTATCTTCTCCATAAAACTTAGCATGCTGGCTTGAAGAAAGTAAGTGAATAAATATTTCTTAAATGAGAAAGATTTCTTAACAAAAACAATGAAGAATAAAGTATTATGAATTTTAAAAAAACAACAACAACAAAAAAAAACACTTGATCACAAATACCTAAAAAGTTCAGGTTTGTGTACAGCAAGTTTACCTAATTAAGGTAAGAATTCCTCTGGTACATAAGCCTGAAGCAGAAGAACCATGTTTTATACAGCAGAAGTGATCTTCATTAACCAACATTTAAAAACTCGCTGGATGACTTAATGCACTACATTCCTCTTTTTTTAAATAAGCTGAGGTCCATGTATGCCAAACATCGACAACTAGTAGACCATTTTTATCTGTTTGAATATTTCTAGTGTCAACAACTGAGTGATATGCTAACAAAAACCAGTAGTGTCTGTCCCAAAACCCATATATACTAGTCAAGCTCCTTATTATGCCATAATTAAATAAGTAATAAGTAAGACACTGAAACAGGTACTTGACAACTAAGAAATGTTGTTTCCATGAAAAGTTAACTGAGATTGCCCTTCCTATTAATGTGGATTGGGTAATGCAGACTATCCTTGTAGGGAAGACAATGGGAAAAGCTAGGCATCAAGAACCAACAGGAAAGTTCAACAAGACAGAAAATAACAAATGCTGCCGAGGTTGTGGAGAGATTGGGACTCTCGTACACTGCTGGAGGGACTGTAAAATGGTACAACCATTGTGGAAAGCAGTATGGCGATTCCTTTGTAAGTTGGAATTAAAAATACCATTTGACCCAGCCATCCCATTACTAGGTATATACCCTAAAGAAGTGAGAGCCATGACAAGAACAGATATATGCACACCCATGTTCA